CGAAGCGGGCTTCCTTTTGACAACCGAGTTGTTTGTCCAGACTTGTGCAATTTCATCAATAGAGATAATTCATTTGGAAAGCTCTCCATCTGAACCAAACGGATGATATCTTTCTTAGCCGACCGAACTTCGCCCAACTTCAGGTGACCTCGATTAAAGGTACCATCATTCTCTCGATGCCTTGTAAAAAGCTAATATGACTTGAATCTGTGCAACCAGGCTGTGGTATTTAGAAGCTTAGGCCAACTCGAAAGATCGAGCATCCAAGAGACAGAGATCTCGTCCACTATGATCACGTCAATCTGCGCCGACGGCCATTTCATTTCTACCCCGATGGGTTCGCCGACGGTAGCAAACGTTTCAGCCCAAGCCGTAGCCGGCTGTTTCAGAAATGCGGGGCCTGACAACCAGGCTTCTATACCTGCGTGGTTGTGCATCCCACGAGAGGCGCTGTCTGCTGGATTGTATTCCGACCTCACGTGTCGCCATTGATCGGGTGATGTCAAATTGTGTATAATAGCTATTCGATTTGCACCGAACGTACTAAACCTGGTAACCATATCTGTCAGACTAATTTCATCATGACAGATGAAATTCATCGAGACAATCTCTCGCGGCTTTCTTTGGAGCGGGCCGCTAAGGACCCAACCAAGTAATGATCTAACTGCGTAGGGTTCCCCGCGCTTTCCTTGTCTCTGGTCCATGACCCAGTGAGCCTCAGGCACGTCACATCCAACGAGGATGGTCACTTCTGCACCTTGAATATCATCGAACGGAAGATCCCTCAGGTGTGACCACTTTTGAGCTTCCTCTTTTATCGACCCCACAGGTCGTATGGGTAGATTTGTCACTGAATAAGCATCGTTTATGTCAACAGTTTCTTGCCCATCCAGGGTAACAATCCTCAGGCGGACGTTAGCTATTTTGTTGTTGTTTATTCACTCGGTAAGCATGGTTGTAACACGTGTGATTTTCATACCTAAACCGTTTACCAGTTAGGGGATGAGCTCAGTACCATTGGTGTATTCGATCCAGGTACCGAGCGTAGATACAGCTCAATACATTCACTAATTTATAATGATGTCATATGGATTTGAAGCTAACTTGCAAACTGGTGTAGTCATAACATCTTTTTGGGGATCGGAGTGTTCGGCTAAGTTTGTGATTGGGCATCAGGGTACAACTCTAATGAAACGGATTGTTTCGTTCTTTGTTCCTCTGCATCATGCTAAGTGCACACCGGTTATCCAAAATAAATGGGGCTTATTTGGACTAGTCTGTTTTAGCGGTCTTCTCCTGGATTAAGTAGTGAACACTAACGAAAAAATGGGGGTGATTCAGTAACGAAGGTCAACTGTTAAATTTCAAACTCTTGATTTGTGTCCATATTCCATGTGGACATGAGGACATTTTGTGGTTCCTGCCATTTGTTCGAATCCAACTGATTCCCGGATGTTTGCATTCGGGTCTTTTTACAATTGAGGATTGTGAACCCTTAGCTGTTTTATTTTTTATTCATTTCTCTTGTTTTTAATTTCCATGTTGTTTGTTCATCAAGTTTCTCTCGTGACTTCTAGATTCACATGATTGTCTATTCGAATTCCGGTTTACTCGATTACTGTCTGTATTTCGGTTACCTAACATCGTCAAATGAATACTCGATTTAGTTTGGCACATGGCACCAAGCGCTTGTTCATTTGAAAACTGATAACCGAAAGCGTGAATTTCGTTCGTATCAGATGTCGTTTTCGCAGCTTTTGGCATAAAATTTGATTTAGCGCTTCACTTCTGATCGAGTGATTGCATTCTTAGAGATCATGCTTATTTACTGCAGACTAATGTTGTTGGACATCCTTTCCGCGATTTCTTCATACTCTTCTCATGTACATGTTAATAGGTCACGAGTGGTTATAGTAATTTCCTTGTTTCTACTAAACAGCATTCATTCAGTCGCGGACTCTAAATTAAGTACTGTGACTACTTATAGTTTGATTTTAGTAGTCTGAAAAGTACTCAGCATGCATATATGTAACACGACAGCACACGGTTATGATGCGGAAACAATTTTAATTAGATTGGAACAATTCTGTTGCATTTCCTGTGTTGCTCGAACTGTTGTTTTTTTAATCACTTATACTACCCAACTTATGGTTTAATATTTTTGACATGCTTGTGACTTCTTCAGTCACCGACAGTATCGCATTCATGCGGCTGTTCCCCTGTGGTGTTTAAACGTGTATTGTATTATGCCCACTTCAGTTTCCTTCTAGCCATGACAGCAAATTAACAAAACATTTAGTGGCTAATCAAACCAGTACAAACTCAGTTTCAATTGTTTTCTCTTTTATAAGTTAGTCATCGTAGAAACAGATACCAGCATGAGTAGATTTGAGGGTGAAATGTTTTTACAGCACTGTATACGGTAGGTGCATGACAACCTGAGGAAAATGAAACTGCCATATATTCTGAGTGTGCAGAAAAGTAAAGTAATCCCCCGTCAGCACGAAGTTACACACCCAATAATCATTATATCCCCAGACAATTGGGATTTTACCCTTTTTTTATTGGTCAACATTTTTCAGTTTAGATTGAACAGTGTCTTATTGATACCATGTACACATCCTCGTGATTTCTTTTCTGTTTTTATGTATGCTTTCACGTACCTAAGCTCGCGTTTTTGCCGAGAATTTGGTCTGATGGTTGAGTGGTCATATGAATTACTATGCTGTGATAGCTCCATTAATTCATTTGTTATCCACCATTATCTTTCCTAGGATTATATTGCACGATTCGGTCATGGGACCAAAAAATTAGCTCGCCAAGCACAGAGCAAGGAGAAAGTTTTACAAAAAATGGTCAGTGGTGGTCTGGCCGAACGTGTGCAATCTGAAAAGACACTCACCTTCTACTTTCCCGATCCAGGAACAATCCCGCCACCGGTAATCCAAGTTCAACAAGTCAGTTTTCGTTACGCCCCGGGAAAGGTAAGGCTGGTTTTCGATCGATGCTGTTTTGCGTGAGCCTTTGCACTTCATGCTATTTCACTGTGTTGTGGTATGGTTGATCTGCACGGAATACGCTGGTTTAAGTTACGTTCACCGAGTGTCGACTGATTCAGCGGGCTTTCGTCTCATCCCACGCATTTTGCGATCGACCGATCTAGTAGAACTGAGTTGGTGCACATCCATGTTGGTGTTACAACGGTGTCGGCTTTTGCTTAACTGTGAAACCATGGTTAAAACTTGAGAGAATGTAGCAATCTGTCGTAGCGAGGTTGTTAAGATATTCCGTTTTTCTCGCTGTAAATACCCTCATTCCAGGGGCACTGACCCTGGTCACTCAGAACGGTCAGGAATTTCCAAACCGATCTCGAAGTATTTTTTGCTACTTTTTACTCATTCTAATATTAATCAGCTGCGCTCATTAGCCATCCTGTGACCTTCACTGCTGTTTATAGTAACTGTTCTTCAATCTTTTGAGTTGAAAATATTTGTAGGCTGCCACTTACTGGTGTATTTTTCGTCTTGGTACACACGTTTTCGCATGTTTACAACAGAGGTATTGGAACATTTGGAAAACTAACTAGAATCAAGTCTGAAGAATACAGCGTTTGTTTCAATTACTCTAGATCGCAATTCAGAATTACATTCTGTACAACCCGGGAAGCATAGATGGTGCAATGTTGCAATGTAAAATTGACATAATTAGTCGTTTTCTTTTAACTCTCTCCCTTCGATTGATTCACTTAACCGGTTAGTCAGATACGGTGATTCGCTGGTGCTTGATGATCTGACTCGGTCAGAAGGCACGTTAACGAAAACGATCACATACTGTTGAAATTTTAATGTTTCACATTCCGTTCCACACGTGTGTTTTGTTTGAACTACTTTGGGGATACTAGGCAAAAGTAGTGTCATCACAAATTGAAATCGATTCACGTAGAAGTGATATCAACGTATCTTTAAGTAGAAAATGTATAGTCGAATCAACGGTTTATCGTGGTGCCTCGAGAAAAGAACTTTGCTGACTTTACTTGACCTGCTAAAGTAAAATGATGGCTGGGTCTTGATAAATATTCTGTCTAGTGAAAAGTAGGTGTCTTTATAATAAGTACTGAAAACTGTTGGTCGAACAGTGCGTTCATTTTCATCAGCTGCTCACTTGGATAACGTGCTGTTTTTCTCATGGTCATATTGATGATTTTTGATTTAATGCTGCGACTTGATTTCCAGACTGGTTCTTCTGTTTTGATTCCTTGCATACTGTTTGTTGTGTTAGATAGTACCAATCAACGCACATCACCATTCAGCTGTTATGTCGGCAGATTTTTGGTAAATGTGTAAATGGGTACTCAACCACCGTTATAGAAAATAGCCTTAGGCTACACAACCTCGGTTGATAACTGCTGTGGACAGCATCGTATTGGGGATGCTTCTGGTCTATGAATGCCAGAGTTTTGGTCAAGCGTGAATACTCCCATTATCGTGCAGACATTTTTTGGAGAACGTTAGGTCTGATGAAATTCCGAGTTGGTACATTAAAGCAATCGGATACAGATATGAACGATCTTCCGATTCCTCACACAGCTAAGCTGATGTTTCTTCTCTTGTTGAACCTATAGGGTTAATTCTGTGACATGGACAACGGATGATCTCTGTACACTACCCTAGGGAATGCATTTTTTCTTAGTTAATTGATCTCACATCACGTGATGTTAGCAAACTTCAGTAACTACAGCTTCCACAACTTACACATGCATCTATGGGTAGTAGTAACAAGTAGAGGATTATTTGTGCAGTTAGTCAAACCGAGGCGATTATGTACCCAATGTTGCGGTGACCGTTCCAGTCGTCTTGAACAAGTGAGTTACCAGTACACTCACAGTGAACTAACTGTTCACATGAGGACCATTGCCTGCGTTGACAACTGATCAATGTACTCTTTTCTTTGATACTTGTTTCCAGATGTTTTTTTAGATGAGACCCAATTGTGAAAAGTTAGGGTTTCGGCTGGATTCGAACCAGCGACAGAAACAGCATGTTCAAACGCTGCCAATGCTGTACCAGTTGAGCTACGAAACCACACCAAGAGCTCGGAAATTTCACATTTGAACTCCATT